TACAAAATAATGCACAACACTTTGGTTTTGGAAATGGTATCAAACGGGCATCATAGTTTATATTTATAAACTGCTAGACACTTATACTATGTAGTATGAAGTGAAAAGGGATCGAACCCAAGAGATTGAACACGTGTTGGGATTAAACTTGATTTTAGTGCTAATGAGATTGCATGAGAGAGAGAGAGAGAAAGAGAAAAAGATTTTGGTGGAGTGATTAAACTAGAATTCAATTGAAAGCATGGAAATAGAAATGACAATGCAAGTAAATTAAACTAAGAATTAAAGAGATAGGAAGAGAGTCTTAGGGTTAGGATTCACCACTAAGCTCATGTAATTAACCATTTACTTTCAATTAATGGGGAATTCATTAGTGTAATTAGATGTGGTCACATTATCATCACAAATCACAATTGTAAGCATAGATTATCAACATCAAGAATGAATTGTCTACCTAATGACAATTAAACTAAAGTGTAGAACCCATTCAAGACTACGTCATAACCCACAATACACATTCACAAATGTATCCGATAAGAACACACATCACTCAAGAAGATAATACTAATTGTAATTAGAAGTATGGATTAACATAATCAAGCACAAATTGCCTACTTTACTACAGTTAACTAATGACAATAAGCTAATTTGTAGAACAACCCATCAAGATTAAGCCTTTATCCATCAAATTAATTGACAATTGTATCCACTAAGTATCATGCTATGGCCATCACTAAACACAACTAAAAGAAGTATCTAGTGTAAAGTATAATTCTAAATCAATCACACATAGACATGCAATTTTCATATAGAATCAATGGAAGAATTAATTTTCAATCATCTAATGAAGACTAAAATACCTAATTAATCATATATAAACATACAATCAACTAGAGATTTCAATGGAAGAATTCATCAATACAAACCCTAATTTAACAAATCAAGCATGTATATATATAGAAATCACAAGGCCATACAATTTAATTACAACATAATAATTCCCCAAGAAAAGAAATACAATGGTTAGGGTTACATGAACTTAGGGCTCATCCAAGCCCTAAGTGAAGAACTAGCTCATGGAGAAGATGATCATGGTGTCAACAAGCTCCATCTCCATCTTTTGGCTTCTTCTTCTTCTTCCTTCAATTGTTGACAAAGCCTCTGTAAAAATGTTCTTCAAACCCTAGTTTTCTCTTCTCCCAGAGAGAACGTAATATCACGGTACAGAATAAATAAAACTTAATAATTAAAAATAATAAAACTCTCTCCTAAATAAAATAAAAACTAACTCTCAACTAATGGTTTACTGGGCCTTAAGTAATAACCCTATTAAAGCCCAATAGTTCACAAAATAAGCCCAAACAATAAGAAAATCCTATAATGTTGCCAAGTCCTGGGGGATCGATCCCTCACCCTAGGGGATTGACCCCCCAGAGTTGGAAATTTCCTGTAAGCCCTATTTAGCTCCGTTTTGGTCCTGAGCTCATTGGTTTGCTTCTTCATCTTTGGGAACATCATCAAAGGCCTGATATTGACTGCTTTTGAAGAATAAACACACTATACGAGCAATGGGCTGCAACCTCCTTTTGTCATTTTCTGAGCTTTTCTGAATATCTTTGCTTAACTCCAAAAAGGCTTTAGTGAATCAAAATTAGCTCATTTTAACTTTATTACCCTAAAATACACATAAACATAAATTAGGACTAAAACATGAAATTAAGATAGATGCAAAGACTGAAATACCCTAGCTTAGGTGCTGAAATGTGCAATATTTAAGCAGTTATCAGGCCTCTTTACATACATGTTTATAATGTCAAAAGCAAATGTTTGGGTGTCATTACATATCAAGAAAGCTACTAAAGCTCCAAAAGTACCATACACCCATGGCATTCAAAATATGATATCAAAAGAAAGGCATGTTAAACGCTTGCATGTCAATATACAAAAATGCTTCATTTAGCTCAAAAGCTTCTAAGGATGATGAGCATCCAAGAACATAATCTCTTTACCTGAAAAACAACCCAAACCACGAGGGTGAGTAATCAAGTTACTCGTAGGAAGAAGCATATGCGTATACCCTAAAGTTTTAATATCATTGCGAGATCAATATAGACGAATATAAGGGATGATTCCTCTTAACATCTATATTCATGGTATTCTAAGGGATCATTTTAAGCTAACTTAAATGATTCTTTAGCAATACAAATCAATATTAATGTACTTAACAACATCAATTCTCTAATAACAAGAATTTCAAGCTACAATTAAGCATTGCTTGTCAACTTGAAATTAAATGCGAAATCAATTAGTGGAATACTTAGACATCACGTCTCGGACTAAACCAAGAACAAAAATGGTTATTTCGGACATTAACCCACTGGGAAGACCACCCCAGTGCGCACTATCTCAATTGGGGAACACTCATACCTCCCGTACTAAAGCCAAACTTTAGCCATGTCATATTAACAATGTCCTAAGAGAATCCAAAATATATCAAGTTCAAAACTCATATATATAGATAATAAGGCATATCAACCACTTTATAAGCACAAGTATTTTGAAACCACACAAACCATGTCTTATGGTTCCAAGTCTAGAATGGCATGCTAAATGACAAGTACTCTTCATGATATTATGCACAATACAATATCACCTACTTATTAATTTAAATCATGCCTCAACATTAAGCTTTATATACTAATTATCAACATTTTAGCAATAAGCTTCTAAATTAATCACAATTTGTAATTCACAAGAACATAGAATTATTTCCACAACAATATAGCAATTCAAGTCAATAGAAATTGCATATAACATCAATAATTCTACAAGAGTTCTATATCACTACCACATGTGAATTTACTAGAATTTAGCACACTACTAAATTATATAATCCTTCTACACATGGTTTATACATATCATACATGCTTAATCAATAAACCCTAAGTCAAGAAGTGAGGGTTTCCTATAATATGCAAGACTATCATATTAAAAGCATGTACACAATATATATTAAACCCTAAGGATTATAAAACACTTAGAATATAAACATACTACCACCCCTACCTCAATAGAGAATTGAATCTCTATAATCCAAGCAGCCAAGCTCTAAATGTAAAACAAGTTTGGGGTTATTGAAGAGGAGAGTGAGAGGAATCTTTTCTCTCCCAAGGTTTATTGTGAGCACTTGCATTTTTATCATTTTTCTGGTCATTTTGACATACATGCATTTTATTTTTTTCTTGTCAGAATTATAATTATTTTGCAAATGTGTGGTAATTTCATTAAGTGTCATTATTTGTTAAGAAATATGATAGACTTTATTATGCAAATAGCATATTTGCTTGTGGTTCCTACGGTTTGTCGGGAGGATGTGTTACAGGAGTTTCACACTTCTCGTTTTACTGTGCTTCCAGGTGGTACTAAAATGTATCATAATTTGAAATGCCAGTATTAGTGGAATGGGATGAAGGCAGATGTAGCTCAGTTTGTTGCTAGATGTCTTACTTGTCAGCAGGTAAAGGCAAAGCATCAGAGACCTGCAGGTTTGTTACAACCATTGCCAGTAGCACAGTGGAAATGGGAATGTATTGCTATGGATTTTGTGATAGGACTTCCGAGGTCACAGAGGGGTAATGAGTCTGTTTGGGTCATTATTGATAGATTGACTAAAACCGTTCACTTTTTGCCTATTAAGGCGACAGATTCTACTGAGGCACTTGGCTTATTGTATGTTAGAGAGATTGTCAAATTGCATGGGGTTCCATTATCCATTGTTTCGGACAGGGATGTCAAGTTCACATCGAAGTTCTGGGAAGGGCTTCATGCAGCGTTTGGTTCACCGTTGCATTTTAGTACGACATTCCACCCGCAGACGGACGGCCAGTCGGAGCGTACTATCCAGATCTTGGAAGATATGCTTCGGGCCTGTGTATTTGATTTTGGTGGTAGTGGGGAGGATCATTTACCTCTTGTTGAGTTTGCCTACAACAATAGCTATCAGTCGAGTATTGAGATGGCTCCTTTTAAGGCATTGTATGGGAGGCCTTGTCGTTCTCCTATTTATTGGACTGAGGTGGGTGAGACAGCCGCCTTAGGGCTAGACATTGTCTTGGAAACCACTGAAAGATTAAGTTGATTTGGCAGCGGTTGTTGACTGCTCAGAGCCGAAAAAAAAGTTACGTAAATAGACGGAGACGACCATTATCCTTTGAAGTGGGAGACCACGTGTTTCTCAAGGTTTCTCCATGAAAAGGATTTCTACGGTTTGGAAAGAGTGGCAAGTTGTCACCTTGTTTCATTGGGCCATTTGAAATTTTGGACCGAGTAGGCGAGGTTGCTTACAGATTGGCATTGCCACCATAGATGGACAGGGTCCATAATGTGTTTCATGTTTCGATGTTGTGGAAGTATGAGTCGGATCGATCACATATATTGAGTTGGGTTGATGTTGACATTGATGAGGATGTTTCTTATGAGGAGGGACCCGTTCAGATTCTTGACACTCGGGACAAAGTGTTAAGGGGTAAAACGGTGACTCTCGTGAAGGTTTTATGGCGACATCACGGTGTTGAGGAGGCTACGTGGGAACGGGAACAGGTTGTTCATTCTACGTATCCAAGTTTGTTTTCTTCCCCAGGTACGACTTGATTTCGGAGACGAAATCCTTGTATATTGGGGAGATTGTGAGCACTTGCATTTTTATCATTTTTCTGGTCATTTTGACATACATGCATTTTATTTTTTTCTTGTCAGAATTATAATTATTTTGTAAATGTGTGGTAATTTCATTAAGTGTCATTATTTGTTAAGAAATATGATAGACTTTATTATGCAAATAGCATATTTGTCAATTAGTATTTCATAAAGGGCATTATAGACTTTTTATTTTACAAATGGCATTTTTGGTAATTGATTATTTTATAAAGAGCAAAGTTGACTTTTATTTTTCAAATGGCATATTTGGCATTTGGTCATGTCATGGGGGTAGTGTGGACTTTTAGTATGCAAACGGCATACTTGGTAATACGTACATGTGTGAAGGGCCTTTTAGTCATTTCATGGGGGCATGCTTTGGCTAGGTTTATGCTTGACATGTGGAGGGGCACTTGGTTGTATATTGTGTGTATAGATGGTGACTCTTGTTTTGTGATCCACACATTTTCTACAACCATAAAAAAAAAAATTAAAAAAAAAGTAAGCTGCAGAATTTTCGTCCCTTGTATTCCCTCACCATAGTCTTCTTCTTTACTTGTCATTTTGAAGGCCTTGTGTTGTGAATTTGGGTTAGCTTTGTGAATGAAAAAGATTCCTAAGATCCTAGACTTCCTTTTTGATGCTGAAGTTGTGAGCATTTTCCACCTGTGGGGTTGTCAAAATCTGATTTGAAAAGGAGAAGAGGTGGTTGTATGTCAAAGATGGTGTTCTTCATTTGTTTACAAAGTTGGTGGCTTTGATTCACTCCTTGGGCTTTTAAATTTTCTTGAAAGGATTTTCAAGCTTCTAAGAGGTAGGATTGTCTAACCCTCAATTCCTTTGCCTTTAATGAGTTAATCTCTTTCAATTTTTGAGTTGCAAAGTTCATGCAAACAAAACTGAAATTTTGTGCTGCTGAAATTGTTAGGCTGAATTACATGCAACTGTTTTGCTCAAATTGATGTAAATTCGTAATTGATGTTTTAGAGATGATTTGGTGTTATGATAATATAGTTAATTAGCTTTCATTGAGAATTGGTTTCACTTAAATTGGTTGAGAAATGAATTTATAATGAATTTTTAAAGTTAGAGTATTCTTGCTGGAAATTCTTGGTTGGGGCAGTTTCTGTCCGAGTTTTTCTCATCAAACCCGCTTTAGATGGTATGATATTTTGATGAAATAAAATTTTATCTTAAAAATATAGTCTTTTAAATTTCAGTGGCCTTTGGATTCACTCAATTTGGACAAAAATTGAATTTACTATGAATTTTTGAAGATGGAAGCTACAGGCTGGAAATCAGTGTCTGACAGATTTTTATTTCGAAATTGTGGATTAAAACTGTTCCAATTGGGGAGGGATTTTGTTAAACTAAATTGACACTCTCAAATTAAATTGTTTAAGCTTTCATTAGGCTTTGGAATCACTCAATTTGACTTATAATTGAATTTGTTATGATTTTTTCAAAGATGGAAGCTACAGGCTGGAAATCAGTTTTTGGGCAGGATTTAGTTCGAACTTTTGGGTCAAAACTGTTCCAATTGGGAAGGGATTTTGTTAAACTAAATTGACACTCTCAAAGTACAATGTTTAAGCTTTCATTAGGCTTTGGAATCACTCAATTTGACTTATAATTGAATTTGTTATGAATTTTCAAAGATGAAAGTAACATGCTGCATGTGAACTGTTTACTATTTAGAAACTTCGGAACATGACACAAATGTGCATTCATCTTGCATGGTCATGGGGTTAAGGTTAGAATGGAAAAAGGAAGTGAAATTTCAGTAAATGATTTTGAAAACTAGATAACCGGGAGGTGCCTTGTATCCGTGAGTTAGGAAAGTGGGATTGATTCAATGATTTCAAAACCGGACAAGGAGTTGCCTTGTCTATGCAGTTAATGGGAATCTAGAGAAGAAATAGGAGTTGCCTATGCGTAATTGTGTCACTAGGCCCCAAATGATTACAAGGAGTTGCCTTGGATCAGGGATAAATGATCAATTCTCTTCTCGTGGTACAGGGAGCAGCTCTGGCCGGATTACATTAACTTTTTGTGATGGAAATTGAATTTTGGGAAGTGAGAAGTGTCAGTGGCATTAGCATTAGCATTAGCATTAGCATTCGTATTGCATGGCACTTCATTTTATTATCCTACATGACATTATTTCTTTCCTGAGTTTATATGATCCCATTATCCTTTATCTATTCTTTGTTTGGATTCACGGAGGTATTAAGGAGTGCGCTTTAGGCAATTACTGCTGAGCTGTGGTTGCTCATTCCTATTTTATTTACATCTTTTCAGGTCATAACATGGATGGTGTGGAGGGTGTTCCTCCTCAACTGTAGACAGAGTTGGGGCTGGTGTTGTTGTGTTATATTCCGCATAATAGTTTATGTTTTGTCTTATATTTCTTTAGAATATTTCTGGCATGTAATAAGTGTTATTTCAGACTTTAAAACTTTGATGTTGTAATATTTGCATCTTATCTATTAATTTTCAGTCTTGTTTTTGTAAAGGGACATAAATAGGTGGATGTGTGGTTGAGACAGGTTGCAGGGATAGTTTTTTTTTATTTTTTTATTTTTTTATTTTGAGATTGTGATTGTTTGTGTGTTGTGTTCACAATCCGGACTACGTCTAGGGGCGTGACATTTATGCTCTAAGATGAATGGAAGGAAGCCAAAATGAAGGAATAAGCTATGCACTAAGCTTTCCTCTAATGGTGGATTTGCTAGAGTTATGAAGAACAAGTGTAAAATGAAGAAGGTGAAGTGAAAATGGTGAGTGAAGGGTCTAGTAATCCTCCACTCACTATGTGCTCTTACACTACCTCTCACACACACACAATGCAAGACTAAATCTTGATCCTACACTTGTCACTAATCTAATGCTCCACCCTAGGATTAATCCTAAGCCTACACTTGTCACAAATCAATGGCTACATGTGCACTAATCTAAGGCCAACAAGTGGGTGAATCTCCACCCTCCAAATGTCAAGAAGTCATAGTGCCAAGTCTCTTCACCCAAATGCCAACAAGTGACTCCATGAGAGTGTGACACTTGTCACACTTTCAAAAAATTGTAAAATGGTCCTTTTTCAAAATATCTTCCAAAATAAATTGCAAAAAGGTCCCTAAAACGAAAAATAATTATTTTACATAATTACACTAAAACTCCAAAAGTTATGAATAATTACACTAAAGTATGCATTCATGCCCTTTATGAAAAAAGTAAGCAACTAGATGCTTTTCTACAAAAGTAAAAATACCAATGTCATGGAAATCAAATACCATGAATGCATGCAAAATTGGAATCAAATCCGAGCACAACAAGTGAGTTTATGCAAGGAAAAACGAAAAACGGGAAAAAGATGAAATGGGGAAAAGACGAAATAGGAAAAAGACGAAAAAAGAAATTCACCAAAAATGGAAAAGGAGGAAAAAGACCTGGTCATTACAGGAAAAATAGTCTTTTCAAAATAGAAATGGGTGTCACTGTGCACACCATTGGAAAGACAACGAAAAATTAATAAAGTTAAACTCAAGAATCACCTAATTCGGAGTCCAGACGAAGGAGATATGACTATTTGAAAACGGAGCGTCAAGGTTGGCTAGACGGGGGCACCATGGGTGCCCACGACGCACGTCGCACACGAGTTAGTGCATGCCGCACACGCATGCGCGCGGTGTAACTCTCCTGACATTGCCAATGGCTTGCACTAATTTTTTAGATTGAAATGCTAATTGGAAGGCCCAAACGACATTTTTTGGAAAAAAGTTGTAAAGTAACCAGCCCCAAAATCATGTTTTCTACATGACTATATCAAGAGAAGTTTTTATTTTTCAACTGAAATACCCAAAATTCCCCTTAGATTAGATTTTTTCCTGAAAATGTGTGCACACCAGAAAATCATATTTGATGTGGGGTTTTCGAGACCGAGTCCACATTTTTTAGAAAATGTTTTGAAGAAACCCCCCCTAAAATCACGTTTTCTAAGTGACCATATCAAGGCCGAAGCTTATTTTTCAAAGGAAATACCCTAAAATTCCCATAAACCAGATTTTGTGAGGAGTGTGAAAATGAGAGCAACCAAGCGTTCATTTCATGCAATAAGGTGTTTGGCAAAACGATTGTGCACACAAACATAAAATTCATAATTAAGCACACTAGAATGGTCTAGGACCTCAAAATACGTCTAACGCAAAATTTGACCTATTGAACCTCAAGTTTGCAAAATTTGACCTATTTAACCTCAAGTTTGCAAAATATTGCTTTTAAAGGAAAACATGAAACCAAAAGTATACAAATGGAAGCAAAAGACGTTTTGGCCCTTGGCCACACGTCATACATATACAAAGAGTCATAAAGAGTATGCTTATGAACACTTTACACATCCCGAATTAAAAATGACATACTAAAACCTCAAATTCATAATATTTCCAAATAAAGCATGAAAAAGAAATGGCATACATGTGATTCAAAGATTCTTGGCCCTTGACCTCATTACATACACATCAAGTGAGTTTCAAAAGGTGCACTTAAGTGCACATTACATAGTTCAAATAAAAGATACAAGTTTTGGCATATTAAACCAAAATAATGCAAAAACATGCTAGCAAATGCATGTAACAACTACACCAAAATGCTCCAAGCTACTAAACAAGTCTAAGGATGTTATGCATCCCAAAATAGAGTTTCCATACCTAAAAAAGATCCCAAACAACTAGGGTGAGTAAACAGGTTACTCGTAAGAAATGAACATGCGCATAACCTAAAGTTTTAATGGTTTTGCAAATTTAGTATAAATCGATCCATGTGGTTCATGCCACCTAACGTCTATGTCCAAGGCGAGACTAAGGGAGCATCCTAAGCTACCTTAAAGTATTTCTAGCATAAACCATAATATTAGTGCAATTTAACAAGATTAGGGAACCGAGTACACAACGACTAGTTACAACTCCATTATATTATCAACTTGAACTTAAAATACAAAATTAACTAGAAACAACAAGTTACATCTATTTAATGATATCAACTTGGAAGTAAGGTACAAAGTCGACAAGAAACAAGAAGTTACATCTATTTAGTGATATCAACTTGGAAGTAAGGTACGAAGTCAACAAGAAACAACAAGTTGCATCTATTTAGTGATATCAACTTGGAATTTAAGTACGAAGTTAACAAGAAATAACAATTTTTGTCATATAGTTATCAACTTGAAATGAAAATACGAAATCAAACAAAGGTGGATACTTGAACATCACGCCGGAATAGACACGAGCACAATGGATCACTTTTGGGTTACTCGGCCATGGATACCATCCTCTAAGTGCGCACTATAAAGTAGAGAGAACTCATATCTCCCATACTAGAACCTTACTCTAGCCATAGTCAGGATAATGACATCTTAAGTTTCTAAAATTAACAAATTATGCAACAAAAGTATCTCATATATACTCAATGCACTTAGCCAAATACCATGCACAACCAAGTTATGGAAATCACACAAGATATGCCCTAGGCCCTTATGATCGGTTGATCAACTATACATCAACCTTCGCAATAGCACGAATCATTGTAAAATAGGGCTATTGGTCGGGTAAGTCGAACCACTGGGACTGCGCTAATCTATGGCAACCTAAGTGTCTAGAGTCATTTTAGAGTGATAAGGGGTGTTCATAGAGGGTTTGTTTTGTTTGTCACTAAACTACAAATTCAGAATGCATAAAATAATAAATTGAAGGAGATTAAAAGAGAAGATTTAGAGAAGGAAGTCTAGGGAAGTGAATCCACTCCAAACCTCTACACAAGCTAATTATATGATTGATTTGGGGAATTAATGTAGAAATGACCTTAATATATAATAATACATTACTACTATAATATCTTCAAGAAATTCAATTAATTAAAGAGTAAGAACAACCTATCAAAGCTTCACATGGTTGAGTTACCTAAACTAAGATGCAACCCTAGACATTCTCACTAAGCTAGAGATTGTCAAACAATTAATCAATTGGTGGAAGCACATGATATCAAGTCACAAGATTAAATCATCAAAAGAAATTCTTAAGCTATGGATTAACAAACTACTCAAAACCATGCCATTAAAACCGTTCCATAATCTTAGTTCCATTGTCACTATGAAACTATAAGCCATACAACTATGAGATTAAATAATCTAAGACAAGAGTATGTAAATCAACATAGTCATTCAAACATTCAAAATCTTCATTACAATTTGTAACATGCTCTAGACCATGGAACTAGCCAAATATACATTTCATTCCCCAAAATAAATCAAAAACTAGACATGCTTACAAGGTAGAGTTTCATCGCCTCCCTAGATGGAGGTTTAGTTACCCATTGATGCACTAGATGAAGGAGGAAGCAAAGCCTTGACCTCCATTTTCGAGCTCCCCTCTTTTAGCTCCAAGAACACACCTTTCTTGCTCTCTTCTCTCTCCTCTATCTTGCAAAAATTCAAGGATAATCCTTTTGTGTGGTCCTTCCTCTCTCTTATCAAGCTCAAGTCAAGGCCCTCTCTCCTCCAGGGAACACCTCCAACCACTTCATAAAGAAGGAAGATGGCATTGAGGAAACCAATGTGCAAGTGGCTGAAATTGAGCCATTTCCGAGTGCAATCTGCCTGATTTTCGAGCACTCGAAGAGTGGTCTCGAGCACTCTAAATTAGTGTAATGTGCAACATGCTCTTCTTGCTCAGCACTGATCTACTTTGGTAAAACTACTATAACTTTGTGCCCCGAACTCCAAATTATGATCTGTTTGAAGATTTGGAGAGATGATTCAGTTCTTTAAAAACTTCATGTTTTGATGAAGACCCAATTCTCAAGTCTGGTTGGTCAAAAATGGGGAGAAAGGCAGTACTTCAGTGCTGCCAGGCAGTTCTGCGCACCTCTGTTAAGAAGATCATAACTCTCTACTCCGAACTCCGAATGATGAACCGCTTGAAGATTTGGAAAGCTGATTCAGAGCTCTAAATCTTTCATGTTATGATGGAAGTCCATTTATTGAGTTTCCTAGGTCGAAAATGGCGACAAAAGTCAGGTTCTACTGCTGCCAGAAATTCAGAATTGGCACCCTTTTTGTTCAAAATTCCACAAGGCATCATTTTTGCTTCCTTTTTGCACTTTAACCTGAAAATGCACAAAAACATGCAAATGGAGTTAATCTACATAAAATAATCAATTAATGGACTTTGTTAATGTAATTTAGGGCGCTTGAATATACAGTATTCAGCGCTTATCACACCCCCAAACTTACATTTTGCTAGTCCCTTAGTAAAACCAAAATGCAAAGCTCAATGGAATGAAAAACAGGGGAATGCTATTACAAAAATATCCACTATGGCAAAAATAAACATAAACATAGCTCAAATACAACTTGAAACAGATAAAGAGCTGGAGACGGGATCATTGGGAAGACTACCTTGCATATATGAAGCATTGATACAAAAATTGGCAAAAACCATTTCAACATGCATGCATCAACATCAT